CCCCAAAACCCCAAAACCCCAAAACCCCAAAACCCCTAGGTTAAATCTGAGTATTAATTAAGTTTGTTATTGAAAATAATTCGTAAAATAGATTTGAAACTTAATAAAGCTGAATTTTAAGTATAGGCATTTAATATATTGTATTGTTTAAGATCATCATGGATTAACGTCATCCTCAGTAAAGCCAATTGCCATAGAAGAATATCTTCCGCAAGTGCAAGCAGTCGCGCAAGAAGAGATCACACAAGCGCAAATGCATGAACAAGAAATAAATGAGGGCTAAGTTTGAGGAAACTAAGAAAATGGTCATCGATGCTTTTATTGGTGAAGTAACTCATGCACCTGAACATTTAGTTGATAACGAATATATTCAAAATGGTTATAGAATAGGCTACAACAAATAATTTTGGACTATAGCTCGCTCCCTATTCTAGGTTCACAACGAATCTGTTAATGTCTGGAGTCATCTCTTGGGTATGGTGTTATTTGCTCTTCTTATAATCAACGCCCTCTATACTTTAACTTGCTTCAAGGACATGGGGGAAAGTGTGTGGATGAAGGGAATCAATAGAGCTCACCATGAAAAGTAACATATCGCTCAAATTTTCAAGTCAGAGTTAGACATACTCGGAAATGAGATTTGCTAGATTCAAGACTTCAAGGGGGTCGAGATAACATAATGCTCTCCCAAGCAGCAAATTCACCAAGACATATCCAATATAAAAGATGCCGACAAAGAGTTATCTAATTCAAAATAAAATATTCAAATAGAGAATTGGAGTGAGGTAATGATGCAACCCTTGCATAGAATCGAGGGTCTAGCGCTATCATTCGTCTCCGAGTTCCAGAATTTGACTCACTATATTTAGGAAGGTGAGTACAGTCTGGAGCAAAAGCTTCTAGAATGGAAAGATCACGTAAATCACTACCCATCTGAGTTGAGGAAAAGAATCTCAGATATTCAAAATTTAATGAAAACTTAATTGGAATTAACTGAGGATGAAGAGTTTATAGCAAACATTACCTACTCAAGAGTAAAATACATAACTTTTATTATTTTTAAATAGTTGAGCTACTTGGACAGACTGATGGATGACTTCCAAAGAAGGATGGGCAAGATCCACTCGGATACTATTGATAGAATAGATTAGATGAGTTGGCTAGATTTTGCAAACCTAGTGCAACCAATTGATGATTTTGACTATTACCTCAACTATGTATCGAAGTGGCCCTTATTTGTGCATATGTTCACAGCGGCATTATGTCTTGGTTTCTCAGCCATTTTTCATCTATTCTATGTTTACTCTTAAGATGTAAATGAAATTCTAATAAAGCTTGACTACTCTGGAATTACACTTCTAATTTTCGGAAGCGCTGTACCATCAATAGAATATGTTTATGCCTGCAGCTCTGTTTAGCGTAAGAATATTCTTAAATAACATTTCCTTTAGATATGAAATAGTTTTTTATGTCTCTATCGATGATTGTGAGTGTGATAACCTTTGTGGTCACTATGCTTCCAGTTTTTAGCAAGCCTTAATACAAGTGGGTCAGAAGTTCCCTATTCACACTTCTGGGATTATCTGTAGCCTTTCCTTTAATATATGTCAAATTCAATTTGTAACTCATTCCGCTATTAATATTTTACAGCCAAGAAGGCCAAATGATTGACGACTTCGTTGATCAGTATGTAGCTACAGCCTTGATCTACCTCATAGGTGCAGTACTCTATGCCACTAAAGTACCAGAGAGATGCAAACCTGGAGCCTTTGACATGTGCGGACATAGTCACTAGCTTTTCCATATTTGTGTGGTCATTGCATGCTTCATTCACTACTGCCAAAACCTTATGCTTTTCTATAGAAGACAACATTTCACCTGCTCAGTTGTCTGAAGCAAAAACAGTTAAATTATAAGAGGACATGTTGAAGGTAACATCTTTTGAAGAATTACATTGACAGGAATCTTGTAGTTTGACCATATTATAATAAAGAGATGGTTAATAGAAATCTTGCCTATAAACAAATATTGGAAATAATATGATGTAATTTTACATAATCCTGAATTCACATAAAATTCATATGACGGGGTTTTGGGGTTTTGGGGTTTTGGGG